AGAGGATCAAAATTGCAAGAGGACTCTCAGCAAAGACAGGGACGACAGCTCTGAGGCCCGCCACACTAAAAAACACAAAAAGAGTAAGAAAAAGAAGAAATCAAAGGATAAAGACAGACACCGTGAGAGTGGGTGAGTATTGCCATCTTTCTCTCGATCCTTTAATGAAAACAGAAGGAAATGTTTGTTTGTTTGTTTGTTTTAAGCTAGATTTTTTTTGAAAATAATATGGGGTTAAAGCTCACTATCAGTATTAATATTTTCTTAAAAACGGAAAGAATTTTCATCATTTTATTGATAATGGGTCACTTTTTCTGTCTTAGGCTGGCCGTAAAGCTTGAGATCTTGGTTTTGTTAAACAATGTGATTGGTTCTCTGTCATCTCATAGAAGTTCTGACGGAGATTCAGACAGAGCTGCGGAAATGAAGAAGAAAAGGAAAAAGAAGAGACATCGGGACAGCGATCCCGAACTGCACAGCCCAGACGCAGCTCGGAGCCACAGAAACAGAAGCAGCGAGGAAAGGGAGAGCCGCAAGCGACACCACTCTGACAGAGACTTTGAACATGACAATGGTTTTCCATCGGAAAAACGTCGCTGCACAGACTACGCTGACGGCAGCGGTGACCATCTACTACCTTCCGATCATACGCACCGGCAAACGGTTCAAGTTACGGCCATCTCAATGGACAACCAGGTATTCATTTAGTCTCCAAAATCACAGGAATGCTGAATTAAATGGTGCTGACGAGCTAGTCCAATTTTAAAGCATCAAACCCTGTTTTGTAGGTTACAGCCAAATCAGCGGCAGTGGATTTCCCAGTGACCTGAAACACTGACTCTGTGAGTGGATGTCTTTTTAAATGGTCAGCATTGATGTAGCTACTAATACTTTCTCTTCGCTAAGACCTCATCTTTGTCATTTCAGATCCATCAACCGAATTTTAACAACAGCAGAGGAATGACATCAACCTTTTAGATGTGGTGCTTCTTCATTAGGAATAATATTGTATTTTTACCTTAAGTAAAGTGTTTTAAAATTTAAACTATCCCCCCCCCCCTTTTTTTTTCTTCTCAAATGGGCTTATTTATTTTGCTGTAATTTCTCCTAGCTATCGGTTAAAAAGAAACCTGTTGAACATTTATGATGAAGAATATTAATATATACTTGTATGAACACAAAGCCTGGAGCTTAAACATCTCAACTGCTGCTCAGTGGAACTCAGGACTTGAAAAAAACGTGTTAACATCAATCACAGATATCCACCTGCTTCGAAGAGGAACGAAACAAAGGGAATGACGTGATGCCCGAGAGGACTGAAAGGCATCGGAAGTTTAAGATGTCACCATATCTACACAGCTGCAATGTTTTACTTTATTTCTTTCTTTGATCCCACTGGGAGCCGTGAAACTAATGGAGTTATTTGTGCAAGGGGAGGGAGGGTGGGGTGGGGGGTGATGAGTGCAGTGGTGGGAACAGAGCTTTGCTGACCGATACCTCCATGTTAACCCTGGAAAGACTTGAGAACATTTCCCAGCTTTCATTTTCATCTTCGTTCCCATTTGTGAAGCCTAAGATTCACTCTGTAATTTTAACTTTCTTCACCAGATGCAGAGGGGTTTTTTGTTTTTTGAAATTAGTTTTGTCATGCCGCTCTCTCCCACATTCGAAAAACAAAAAGAAGCACCACGCTATTGCTGTCATGGTGGTGGACCACTTTTTCCTTTTTTT